CAGCAGTGCACGAGGGTTCCCTTTTCTCCACAGCCTCAGCAACACCTATTATCTCTTGTCTTTTTGACGACAGCCATCCTGACAGGAGTGAGGTGACACCTTACTGTGGTTTTGGTTTGCATTTTCTTGATGATTAGTGATGCTGAGCATCTTTTCATGTGTCTACTGGCCGTTCATCTTCTTTGGAGAATGTCTATTCAGTTCTTTTGTCCATTTTTCACTGGGGTTACTTGCTTTTTTGCTACTTAGTTTTAAGAGCTCCTGATATATTTTAGATGTTAACCCCTTATCGTATACGGTTTGCATATATTTTCTCCCACTCTGTAGGTTACCTTTTTCCCCCATTATTTCCTCTGCTGTGAGGAAGGTTTTTAGTTTAATGTATTGCCACTTATTTTTACTTCAGCTTCCCATGCTTTGGCATCATATCCAAAAAAAAATCACTGCCAAGATGAATGTCAGGGAGGTTATTCTCTATATTTTCTTCAAGGAGTTTTTCAATTTTATGTCTTATATTTACATCTTTAACCCATTTGGGGTCTGATTTTGTCTGTGGTATTTATATCTGTGGTTATTTCATTACTTTGTATGTGGATATCTAGTCTTCCCAAAATCATTTATTGAAAAGACCATCCTTCCCCTCTGTGTATCCCCAGAGCCCTTGCTGAAGATCAGCAGCCCACATATACATGACGGTTTATTTCTGGGCTCTCTATTCTGTTCTACTGATCTACGTGTCTGCTTTTATGCCAACACTGTATTGTTTTGGTTACTTTAGCTTTGTAAGGTAGTTTGAAACCAGGAGATGTGATCCTCCAAGCTTTATTCTTCTTTCTCAAGACTGTTTTGACTATCTGAGGTATTTTGAGGTTCCACAAATTTTAAGATTGTTTATTTCTGCAAAAATGCCATTGGAATTCTGACAGGGATTGTCTTAAATCTGTAAATCACTTTGGGTAGAATGGACATTTTAACAATATTCTTCTTCCAACCCATGAACACATGATACCTTTCCATTTATTTGTGTCTTCTTCAATTTCACCTATCAGTGTTTTATAAGTTTTTGGTATACAGATGTCCTGCTTCTTTGATTAACTTTATTTCTAAGTATTTTGTTCTTTTTGGTGATATTATAAATAGGATTGTTTTCTTGATTTCTTTTTTGGATACTCTTAAAAGTGTTTAGAAATGCAACTGATTTTTGTTTTAATTTTGTATCCTACAACTTTACTAAATTCATTTATTAGTTCTAACGTTTATTAGTTTCTTGGTGGAGTCTTTAGGATTTTCTATACATGAGATCAGGTCACCTGCAAACAGGTATTACCTTTTCTTTTCCAATGTGGATGCCTCTTATTCTTGCCTAACTGCTCTGGCTAGAATTTCCAGTGCTATGCTGCAAAGAAGTAGTGAGAGTGGGCACCCTCATCTTGTTCCTGGCCTTAGAGGGAAAGCTTTCAACATTTCATTGTTATGTATGATATTAGCTGTGGGCCTGCCATATGTGGCCTTCATTATGTTGAGGTACATTCCTCCTACATTTAGTTTTTTGAAAGTTTTTATCATGAAAGGATATTAAAAGATACATATATAAATAGATATTAATACAAATGTATAAACGTAAATATATAAAGAAAACATTAATAGAAATAAAGGGAGAAAGAGGCAGCAATATAAAAATAGTAGGGGATGCCAATAAAGAAACATTAAACTCGAACTACACTTTACACCAGATAGACCTAACAGACATACAGAACATTCCATCCAACAAGAGCAGAATACATTCTTCTCTGGTGTACACAGAATATTCTCCAGGATAGAGCATATGTTAGGCCACAAAAGAAGTGTTAAAAATTTAAGACAACTAAAGTTACATCAAGCATATTTTCTGATCACCGTGGTATGAAACTAGAAATCAGTAAGAGAAGGAAACTTGGAAAAGTCACAAATCTGTGGAAATTAACACATTTTTGAACAACTAATGGGTCAAGGAAGAAATCAAAAAAGAAAATCAAAAAGCATCTTCAGGCAAACAAAAATGGAAATGGCAATTTACAACATACAAAAATGTATGGTATGGGATGCAACAAAAGTCGTTCTAAGAGAAAAGTTTATAGAAAAATAGAAAGATCTCAAATAAACAACCTAACTTTACATTTCAAGGAACTAGGAAAAGAATATACCCATCCTAAAGATAGCAGAAGGAAGTGATAAAAGATTAGAGCAGAAATAAATGAACTAGAGACGAGAAATTCAATTTAAGAAAGAGCAATGAAACTGTTTTTTTAAAAAGATAAACAAAACTGACAACCCTTTAGGTAGACTAACCAAAAGAGCAATGGCTCAGAAAAAATTACAAAGAAGAATGAGATATAACTGATACTACAGAAATAAAAGGGTTTGTAAGTGACTACAGTGAGTAATTACACAATTAGATAACCCAGGTAAAATGGATATATTCCTGGAAACTTAAAATTTACCAAGGCTAAATGATGATGAAACAGAAAATCTGAACAAAACAATCAATGAGAAAGGAGATTGAGTCAGTAATCAAAAACCTCCCAACAAAAGCTCTTGACCAGGTGAATTCTACTAAACGTTTAGAGAAGAATTAGTGCCAATCTTTCTCAAACTCTTCCAAAACATGGAAGGAAAAGGAACACTTCCAAATGCACTTACAAGGCGAGCATTACCTGGTCCCAAAACCAAACAAGGACATCACAAGAAAAAGAAAATTACAGGCCAATATCCTTAACGAACATAGATGCAAAAATCCTGAATAAAGTATGAGCAAGCCAAATTCAACAATACATTAAAAAAATCACACACCATGATCAGTTGGCATTTACTCCAGGGATGCAAGGACAGTTCTACATCCTGAAATCAGTCAATGTGATGCAGCACGTTAACAAAATAAATAAAAATCATACAGTCATCTCAACAGATACAGAAAAATCATCAGACAAAATTCAACATTCTTTTTCTTCAGAAAGATCCCAATATGTTGGATGATGAAATGTCTTCCAAACAATTAAAGAAACGTGAAATTATATTTAGTTATGAGTAACAAACATACCGTTTATTTTCATTTTTAAACTAGTATGTGGAAATCTCATCAGAAGACTTGGCTGCAAAGATAATTTATAGAACATCAGAATTCCAAAAAAATCACTGCATTGGTTTTTCACATATAATACAGATTATTAGCACTCGATGGCTTACTTAAGTTTGCTAACTGATGACAAATATTTTACTGACAAGTTAGAATTTACATATTATGAAGAGGGAAAACAATATTCATCGAAGTCTACTCTTTCAGTCTTTTAGGCATGAGAAATTTATTTCAAAGTTATACAAATAAACAGCAAAGCAATGAAACTTCAAGAAGCAGTAGTAGTCTCAAGCTGGCAAAAACGAAAGGAATAGAATGTTAAAATTTAGATAGGAAACACTCATGTAAGTGGAATGAAAAAAATCAATTTCCAAAGCTGGGAAACAAGGGCGTAGGTCCTACAGGCTGCACGGAAAGTAACTAGATACACAACGTCCTTCAGGAGGAGCTGCAGGGAGTAGCGAGGATACTTCAAATGTAAGAGCCACAAGTTTATTAAGGTATCAGGAGACTGTATCCCTGTTTTGGTAAATACTAGATGGGGTTTTAAAACATGACAAAGCCAGGAGCCACCAGCTGTCAGTCAGGGTACCGCACTATGTGGAGAGACAAACTGGGCTGCATGCGCTCAGGGCTTACCCTGTTTTTAAGGACATGAACTGGAAGGGCTCGTCCTGTGAACACCAGTGAGCATTTCTGAGTGCTGGGCTCTCCTGAGTCATGGAGTGTGGCCCCGCAGGGGACCTGCCAGTCACACCACCTCTCCAGGCCTGAAGGAGGCAGCTGGGAATGGAGGGCCCGTCTTCCAAACTTAACCTAGATTTTCTTCCACTACCAACATCCTGGAAGTTGAGCTCAGAGCAATTTGGGGCTTAAAACTTTCAATTCCTGGGTTATCTGCAAGTTCTTCTATGAAAGGGATTGCTCTGAACTTGGATTCACTTCAAGTATTTTTCACAGCAAGAGCCCCTCCATGCTCACACACAAAGAGCAGCGAGTGCCCGTCCATCAGTGGCACAGTAAGTGGGGCGTCCTGACTCAGCTACTGCCATCTCTCCACACGTCCTGTGGGTGTCCTGTCAGGTGCCTGGGGTCTTCGCACGCACTGCTGTGACCAATTCTAAGCTGAGCCTGCAAACACAGGATGAAAAGGACGACACAGCAGAAACAGAACCGTGAGCCGCACACTGCCACGGTCCCACGCTGAGCTACCTCTTCCAGCAGGAAGGTGAGGAGAAAGCCGTCATCTCTTTCTCGACACACAGACTTCTGAGGACCAGGAAGACACGCTGTTGGAAACTTTGCTTTTGGTGAGATCTGATGTTAGAAAACAATCTTAGGAACATGATGTAGCTATTAGATACCATGTCTTGAAAGACAAGATGATCTGGGAAACATCCTCACAATATAGCATTAAAGTTAAAAAAACAGGGTACAGTAAGATTCCAACTTATTAACAAAAACCAACCATGCCTGTGTCCACAGGTGAAGAGACAGGTATGAGGGTGTTCACAATGACTGTCTGGAGCCATGGAATCAGGCACAACTGCTGAAAATAAGCTAACAAAAGCTTTTTTATGTGACGAGGGAAGTGACTGAAAAGGGCGTTTTCCTTTTCATGTGATGCTGGGTCTGGAATCTCAGAGAAGACAGGCAGGTTCTGAGTACTCCCCCTGAAGGAGGTGCTGGGCGTGAAAGCTGGACTCTGCACCTTTTCTGGAGGAAGCAAGCTCACTGTGAAACTGTTAACTTACTCAATGTTGGGAACATTTCACGTCTGAATTCTTTTAGTGCTTGGCACTTGATACGAAAGATTTACGTTACAGATGCAGACATTTTACTACCATGTTTAATAAAACCAATCTGAAGATGTAAGTGGTGAACTCACCCAGAAGATGACTAGTATCTTCTCCACTGGTCAGGCTCATGCTGTCTACTTCCTGTACCAAACAGACGTGAAAACAGAAACTAAGTCTCTCTAAAGTTCAAACAGAAGAAAATGGCACACTTCTAAACATGCGTAAGAACAACATCCGAACGTGAAAACAAATGTGTGTGTGAATGTGCGTGACTGGAACGCTGTGTTGTACACCAGAAACTGACACATTGTAACTGAACTTCGATTAAAAAAAAGATAACAGAACATAGTATTACGAGGGTGGTAGATAAGTAATAATGCAACTGTAATTAGATTATTAAAAGTAATAAAAACAAATTCTGAAAAGCATTAAAAAAAAAACAAAGAAGAACAACATCTGAGCTGTATGTGGGGCCAGAACTCTTCCTCTTTTCGGTTGTGGCCACCTGGCATGACAGGGCTATCTCGTGACTTCCCTCAGAGTGCGATGCGCTCACTGAGCAGACAGGCAGCACTACTGGTGCAAGGGGCTGTCAAAGCCGCTCCTCGGACTCCAGCCCCGACCACCAGCACTGAACATCGACGGTCAGCCCCGCCACTGGCGTCTGGACGTGGGCCCTCAGGTGCACATGGCTCACCAGGGACATTCTGCCAAGGATGGAAAACGCGGCGTGTGGCTCTCTCCATAACTGAGCCCGAGGGCAGCCGCCCACTTTCTGCCTCCCGCTGGGCGGGAGTGACAGGCAGAGAGTCAGGAGAGAGCCGTCCCACAAGTAACACAGGTGATGGCTTTTCAGTTGAAGATCCAACACCTCCTACAAAGGGGTGATGCGGCCTGCCCTCACACCCCTGGGAAGGGGGGGGGATGACAGGCAGGTCACAGCGGTGGCTCTGCCTTGTTATCACAGATGATCAGAGGTAGCTTTACAACAGCCCAGACCTCCGACAGAATTACCAGAGAAGTAAAACCTGAAGAAATCACAGGCAAATTTGTAGCTACTGACTGTGGAATGTCACACGTCATTTCTCACCAACTGCAGGGAGAGGTTAAATGTCCTCACTTTAGCTGCTGGCCAGCATTTTAAGAGCTCCGGAAGCCTTGAAGTCTTCCCCCTCACCCCCTACCCCCGGTGAGTGGAGGGTCACACCCTGCTGGTCAGGGGCTCCACCCCAGTTCCCCCTACCCAAGTGGAGCAGGCTCCCCGCCTCTCACCAGACCAGGGTGGCCCTGGGAAACCTCCCAATGTTTTGGCAGCAACTCTCATTCTGAGGCATTTTTAGTTTTTCACTAACACGAAGAATTCTGCCTATTAACTCTGTCCGGGAAATAGTGACAACTTGCGACTTGGACTCCTTCAATATCTCCAAAAAATACTAAGACAGGAGTTCAGAAGTAGACAAAACCCAGCAAAAAATGTTCTGGCCAAGTAAAGATTACATAATTCACAGCAGGAAACAGAAAGTGGATTTCCTGACCTGAAAACATATGTCCCGACCCAACAACAGATTTTACGTGCATATGCGTGTAGGAAACACACACTTCTCATGGGGACACCTGCAACCACACAGGTGGGCGCTGCAGCAGCCCTCCTCCCCGACGCGGGCGGTGCGCAGCGCAGCCCGGCTGCTCGGTGTCCCGCGCAGCAGTACGCCTCACCTGCCCCTGCCCAGACTGCACGCTCTTGGCCGCGCAGAGACCGCACATCGCTGGACACCTCTGACGCGAGGTGAATCCACATCAGTCTATCATTTTCTGGGTGCCCTGTCTGTGGTTTAGTCCTATAAGCTGCAGTCGTTTCTAAACTTAAATTTATCTCAAATACACTTGAAACAATGGAAAAGAGGCACTTTTCCTGCTCTGGGCTACGCTGCACATGTAACTACTCAGATGACTCTGCTGGCAGTGGAGTGGGAGTAGCCCTGGGCATGCACTGGACCCGAGAGTCAGAGGGCAGAATGTTACAGTTTTATCTGGAAGCTTCAGATACAGTGTGATCTGGGAGGGGAGGTACCCGCAGGTGGAGCTGCTTCAAAGGAACACTGGAAGCAACTGTGAACTAAGTGTGGCAGCTCCCCCCCACCCGCCCTGAGGACTAGCATTTCAAGAACAGTCATCATAAATTTTGGCCTCACAGAACCGTACGGCGCACTCCCGACATCTGCTACATGTGCAGATCCCACCAAGAACAAGAGGAAATACTCAGCCCCCCACCAGGCGAGCAGTCCCCAAACAGCCCGACTCGAGCACCACGCAGCAACCTGACGCAGGGCAGCCGCAGTGCCACTCACAGAAACACCATCCGATTAAAGCAAAGCGTCTGCGTAGGGGAATCTGTGAGACCTCTGTGCGTTCCAGAGGTTGCCAAAGTAGAAGAAAAGTAAATTAAAGGCATGTTTGCTTTTGGAAGGATAAAATCATAAATCTTAGGTAATTTAAAAGCTTATACAGTCTGGGGGGAGGGTAGAGCTCAGTGATAGAGCACATGCTTAGCATGCACGAGGTCCTGGGTTCAATCCCCAGTACCTCCCTTAAAAAAATAAATAAATTTAATTACCTCCCCCTTAAAAAAAAAGGAAAAAAAAGCAATATAATTAAAAAATAAATAAATAAAAAAGTAAAAGCTTATACAGTCTGGCTCTCAGAAGTGTGAGAAATTTGAACTTAAATACCAATGTGACATTTCCTGTGTATTTAAAATGTAAATCACTACGTACAAAATTCAGCTTTGTGTGTTAAAGCCAGGTATCTGCATTACACATGTAAGAAGTAAAGGATTCATCTGATTTCCCAGATCAAACTGCAAGGCTCTTAGGTATGTGAGCCAAGTCACAGAAACCGTGACAATGCTCCCGCTGGCGGGACACCACTTTATTGGGACGATGCATGTGCAGGCAGCCTCTACAAGTATTCCTTTGAGAAAACTGTAAGAAACTGGGTCTTGGAGAGATGAACAGACCGAGAGGAATGAACGGAGTGCAAGGAACAGAGCAGTGACCTGTATCAGTGCATTGATCTGTGTGTTTACATGCAAACACGCAACCTGTTTCCAAAACAGACACAGAGCAGCCGGTCTCCAGCAAAGCGAACTCCCCCCCCCCACCCCCCACCATGGGCGGTGCCACCCTGCCGACCTCTTACCTGGCCCCTGGTCTCTCCAGTGCTGTCCTTGGCCAGACCGGCTGTGCCCGGAGCTCGTCCTGTGGGAGCTGGAGCCCTGCCGTCCCCACCGCCCTGTGGGGACATGTGATCTGCACATTAGATGCCTAACACCGTGTTATGTCTGAGAGTGGAGCAATGTGGTCCTGGCCTGGCAGCTATCAAACTTCTGGTGTCCTTAAAAATCACAAGAAAAGCCTGTGAAAAATGCAGATTCCTGGGTCACCACGCCAGGGCCAGGTTGGTTCAGGAGAGGGTACTGGTGATGGGCAGGCACTCTGTCACATCCCCCGCAGTGGGACAAGCAGCTGTCTCTGCCTCCCAGGCGAACGGCTGCCTGGGTGTGGGGCACACACAGCTGGAGGTCAGGACACCAGCATCCGGGGCTCTGGGACCTGGCCAGCCTGGCCACGCTGTCCTCGAACTGAACGCAGAACTGTCTCAACCTAAATCTCCTCTCCGAAACTCCTAAACCCTGGTATCTTCTGTTTGTCTCTATTAAAGTTCAGCACAAGCAAGTCTACATACGTATCTAAATGTGATTTTAAAAAACATCCTGGTATTTCATGCTGCTCCATAAAGAATGACAGCCAAGGCCACCAGGCCGCAGCGGGGAACCAGCGCTCCGCAGAAGCGGGAAGCAGCTGCCTGCGATCCAGCCCCATGGCCCCTGCCCTCAGCGCACACTCTGCTGGCTGTGGAAGGGGAGCTGCTTAACATGCCTGGGACGAGTTCCGGGAGCGGGGGCAGCGCGGCTGGGACCCCCAGTGGCTCCCTCACCGTCACCCGGGCTGCGAGGCCTGCAAGCTGCCGCTGGGGCTCCAGGCCTCTCCGTACTGTCTGCAGATGCTTCCCTAAAAGCATATTTTGGGTCATGTCACTTCAGACATCTGCAAAAACTCCCCAATCTGCTGCGGCTAAAAAAGTGAAGACTCACAAGCCTCCACCGTCTCACCCCTACCTGCCACCCAGCCACCAACCATCTTCCAGAAACACCACTTTCCTGCTGCAAATTCAGCCCTTTCCTTCCTCACCTCTGCAAACCCAAATTCTCCACGTGCTCAAAGCCTCAGGAGAACGAAACTTCCACGATCTGCCTGCCAGGACAGCGCCCACGTCTCTGCCCCTCAGCGCCGGCTCGCAGGGCCGCCTGGTCACCCCCAGGACTCCAAGTCCACAGGCGCAGGGAACTCAGACCCGGGGCGGGTGGCCAAGTCTCGGAGGTGCCCCCAGCACCTGTGCACAGCGCCCCACCGGCTCAGACCTCAGCTGTTCTGAGCTGCTGCAGTTCACAGCGGTCGGCTCGGTGCTGGGGACACACCCACGTGGACAGGAGAGGCCAGGTATGGACCCCAGCCACACCCCACAGCCCTGCCCAGCTCAGAGATGTGGGGAAGCTGTAGCCACAGGACACGGGGCTGGGGTTTGAGGCTGAGGACTGCCACCGAGAGCCTGCCAGGGGTGGGGCCCAGGGGAGGGGCCCACAGACCCTCAAGCTGTATCTGCCAAGGAAATGGGGGCTCCGAGGACAAAACAAGGGCAGTCCCCAGATCAAGCACACTGACTCGTCACATCTGCCGAAGCAGCTTCCCGTAACCCGGTCTGCACACGCCTGCACACACCTGCACGCGCCCTTCATCAGAAAGGCCACATGGCTTCCCGTCGCCACTGGGAGCGGCAGGACGGCGGCACCGCACTGCCGCGCGGCAGCTGGGAACCGCAGGCTCTCCTTAGGGCTTTCCACAAAACTCACACACACAGTCCTCTTAAGCCCAAGTGCCTGCTGAGAAATGCAGAAAGAGGCTCAGGCATTCAAATCCCAGCTACCACTGCAGCTTAAAATAGCCAGCACGCTCCGTCTGCCTGCTTCCAGCCAGCCAGCCGGCCGCTGCTCTGCTGGAAGCCTCGTTAGTGACAGGGACCCTGGGGCATGGCGCTCGCAGGGCGAATGGCCTGCCTGACGAGCCACCAACAGATTCCAGAACCACCTATTTCACCTGTAAGGAACAGACTTTTGCTCTGGGGTCTCAAATGCTGCCGTTCCCAGGTGGTGGAAGGAAGCAGAGGATGGAGAAAGGGCCAGGTCCAGGAAGGAGCCTGTCGCTCTGAGGAGCAGGGAGGAGGCCGAACTCTCTCTACTCAGACCCACACACGGCACTGACTGGCAGGGGCTGCACATGACCCCAGTGCCTGACAGACCTCATCATATAAAGCTCCTCGGAATGAACCGCGCGGGGCTGGTGCCCAGCAGAGCTCCTGGGGTGCGGACTTGGGGTGATTCTCTTATCCTATCAACTAAAAAGTGGGGCTGCTACAGCTGCAGGTATAGACCCTAAAGAATGAGGACACGAAGAAACAATTAAAATGAACTTATTAACAAAATAAGCTGTTCAACAAGATGTCCAACTGAAAACCAAAGAGCACCCAAATGCTGTTTCATCTATCAAGGCAGTTTAAAAAACAAACTTAAATGCTGTCAAGGATGGCGTGAAACAGAAACTAAATCCTGCTGGTGAAGGTATGAAGTGACCACCTGTTCTTAGAAAACAAGTTGCAACATTTATCTAAAATCCAATTAGGTTTCGATCCGCAATTCTGTAAAAGAGGAAGCTCAATTCTAAGGAAACAACGCACAGAGACGCATCACGTGAGAAGAGGAGGGCAGAGCCTGAGGCCGGGCCACGAGGCAAGCGCAGAGCGGCACAGCAGCAGAGCCGGGGGCTCTGCGTGTGGCCAGTTATGCTGGGTCCGCGGCCTCAGCCGAGGAGAACGCAGACACAGTGCAGGGCGTGATCACAACAGGACAAGCGCACAGACGTCCACGCAAAACGTGTTATCTGTCACTGTTACCTGCAGGGCACAGAATTAACGGTTATTTATGTTTCCTTTCTAATTATTTCCTTTATATTCCAAGTTTCTCTCATACACTTTTATTATAAGAACAAATAAACCCAAAATTTTGTCAAGTAAAGGACCATCACGAGGGGCGTGTGCGCCTCAGGGACTCCTGGAGAGGTCACGCCCCCAGAGTAGAGTTCTTAACTCTTAACAGATGAGCCCTCTGAAAACTGTCTCCTAACAGGACCAGAATTTAAACTGCGGGGTAGCAGGCTAAAATCGTAATTTTGTTTCTTCTTCCCAATTCAGCTTCTTCTTGGCGTTCTTTGCCGAGAAGCTGCATGGGGCCAGGGTGGGGGGGCGCCCACCTGAGTGGTGTGAACGCCAGTGCCGCCTGCTGACGACCGGTCTGTTCTCCTTCACGCAGGCCTTGCACACGACCGACTTCAGGGTGTGGAACGTGGTGAGCCGGGACCTCTGCGAACAGACCAGACGGCCGGAGGGTGTCAGACACGCTGGCAGTTGGGAGACGCAGCCACACGCGTGATCACGGCCCAGCCTAACTCGAGGTCCTCGAGGACCGTTGCTCTTCTGCATGCCCGGGTAAGGGCCAGGAGCACTGACACCCTCTCTGTCCTCTGCAGGTGAGACAGCCACTTCCAAAGGGGCCTTTGGGCTCTGTCATGACATCCACGCCCCCACCGCATGGCCTTACCTGAAGCTTCTCTGTCTGTGACGCGTGACCACTTCGGCTCTTCCCAGCTGTGAGACGTGACGCGGAAACAGCAGTGTCACAGACAACAAGACCCACCCTCCCTCTCAGCTCCGTTTTTACCACTGAAAACTCCACCCTGTCGCCCCACCTTGTCCTAACCAGTAAGTGTGACCTTGCGATCACCTGTACTTGGTCAAGACACGGTGGGGGGTCGTGACTGGTGATGGACAGGCTGTGGCCTGCCATGACCTTCCTCAGTTCTACGGTAACAAGCCACACCTGCAGGACCGTTTCCTTAGTGTGACTGTGGCTGCTGCTAAATTCTGAACACTCAGATTCCTGTGGCACCTGGGACTGTGTGTGGGTGTGTGTGCATGTGCGCGTGCACGTGCACGTGCGTATGCAGCACCAGCAACACACGGCTGATGTGTTCTATCTGACGTGACGGCGTGGACGCTGCACCCTCACAGACCAGCCAGCCTCACTGACGCAGGGTCCTGTGGGTATTAACACGCATTCCAAATGAGCTTGGCCGTAGCTTGACTTGGAAATCTTCCAGGAGTCATGTAGCAACTGTACTGACAACGCCAGAGCAGCAGCCAATGACCCTAACTAAAGTGTAAGCCTTCAGGGAATATTTTCACATAATAAATCACCACCACTCCTATTGGATTAGTCTGACGTCTGCAGAGGCACCTCTGCAGGTAGTGTTCACTCTTAATTCAAAAAGGGTAAAAGCAGCAAAAGCACTTGAAAACTAAAAATGTGTTAGACGGGGTGGGATGCCTTCACCCTCAGCACAAGTTTCAGCAGAAGCTTCGGCCACGACCCTGAGGCCCGAGGCCTCGGTGGCGTGTTTCTGGCTTCCCAGGAGAGCACACCCCGCAACTAGGAAGGCTGCCGGAGTCGGACTGTTTTCTGTGTCAACCTCAAAGCCTGGGATGTGCGGCCCCTCAGGGGATTCTGCTGTTTGTTCCTGAAGGAAAGTCACCCGGGGGACAGACAGCACTGCGGGCCCTGCAGACCTCCCGCCAGGGGCTCCTGAGTTTTCATGACACATCTGAGCAATTGATTTCAAACCTACCAGTTATTTCTAAATGGGAGAAAGCTGTGAACTCACGTTTTGTTCTACGAGAACCTCCACAGCATGCCCTTTCTCAGACTGGAGGTACTTCTGATGAAAAAGCTTCCCATCAAACAGGTTCCAGGGCATGAAGTCGGCCGCTGTCCAGGGGAAGCCGCAGGCGCTGTTGACCAGCACCAGGGTGGTGAGGCCGCGGACCAGCAGGGAGCCCAGCTGCACAGCCCTGGGGTCAACGTGGTCCAGCTGTGGAGATCAGACACAGAAGGTGTGAGGCGGTGTTGTGCGCATGGGGCGCCGGATGGACACGGGGCACGACTGCCCTCGAGGTGGGGCCTGCTCTGTACAGACGCCCTCAGAGCTGCAAAGGCCAACGACCTGACCCCCCAGGAAGGTGACGGGGCTGCAGCCTTGGGCCAGCCGTCCTCTGAGAAAACTTCTTTTAACAGCAAAGGCAAACGAAGAGAAGCCAAGACAGGGCCATTTTAGGTATGACTGAGTCACTGTATGTTTTAAAATCACACTCAGTTCTAATTGTGAGCATTAATTATTAGAAGTATCATTTTACATGCATGTCTATAGTTTAAAAATAAAATGGCTTATTATCTCATAGGGTTGATGGGCTGATACTTCTCACAAGTTATGAAGGTCACCCCGACACAAAACCGTTGTTTTTGCTGTCAAACATCCCTCCTGGCCTTGGACGCAGAGGGGCTCCTGGTCGGGAGGGAAGATGCAGGCACCGTCGCCCTCTGCCACCCGTGTTTCTGCAGTTCCAGGCCTGTGCTGACCACACAAGAGAGCTGGCACCACGGGTGTCCACGTGGCGCTAACAAGGGAAGCTCAGCTCACTCTTGTCAGTGTCGGACGTGTCTGTGCTGCTCAGAGTAAACAGCAGCAATTTCTAACGTCATTATGTCCAATCGTTTATAAAGTTGAAATAAATCAGAAAAAGGGGCTGATGTTTTATCCCTTTTTAAGTCAGGTTTTGCCACACTTATCTAAAGAAAAGAAATGGGATCATCATTTTAAGGAACTGATCATGAACTGGGATCCCCCAGAGCTAATGCCCTCGACCCCATCCGCAGCACCTTCTCTCCTCGCCCCATGTCCTGGGGGCCAAGCCCCTGCCCACTGCACCCAGGCACTGTGGTTCTGTCCATCCAGAACTGCACAGTCCACGCCAGCAGCCACGGGCCCCATGTGATGTTTGAATCTCAGTGAAGTAAAATGGAACACTCAGCTTCTCAGATGCATCAGCCTCACTTCAAGGGTCAGGGGCCACGAGCGGCCATGTGCTGGTCAGCACAGATCCCCCTGTCCAGCACTGGATGGCTGTGGCCTGAAACGTCCTACTTTCGCCAGCTCAGTTCTCCTCTGCAAACTGCCCCAGCCTCAAGAGCACTGCAGCCCTGTGAGTCGGGTGACGCCGCAATCCCGGTTCAGTGCCTCCCACCATGGCTGCCAAGCTCAGGTGAACTGGACAGATGCTGTGCGCTTCCTGAGTGCTGGGGTGCAACTCTCTAAGTACATCTGCCTGTAATGGAGGTGATTTCTGTTCATCTCTGCTATACCTGTCTACTTTAAAGTAAATTCTAAATTAAGTATACCATCCCTCAAAAGCACAGGCCCTATGTGGACCCCCTGAATTTTCACAGAGCAAGCAACCAACCCGAGCCAGAAAGCAGACGTCACCAGCATCGCAGAAGTCCTTCTGGCCCATCCTGTCACACCCATCGCCCCAAAAGGTAGCACCAACCAGCCCCTCAAACTGTAACCAGCGTGCTCACTTGTGCATCTCCAGACACTCTCAGCTAGAACAGACCCTGCTGTCTGGCTTCGCTGGGGCTCCCCCAGGTCGAGAGCCTCCCTTACCTCTCGCTGCAGGCGCGGGGTTCTGACTGGGGACGTGACAAGTCTATAAATCACTCTGGGGACAACTGGCTCCTTAGACAGCGGCCTTCCCACCCAGGAGCTCACTCTTTCAGTAACGTTTTGTCACTGCCAATGTGCAGATTCTGACCAACTGCTGTTTTTCCCTAAGTATTTCATGTTCTTCTTTGATGTTAGTATAAGTGTAAAAATGTGGGGCCATTTTTCTTTGCTGCTGTTTTTGCAGAACACACCTGGGTCGAGTGTGCTGACTGCGTCCAGCCTGTCACACTTGCTCAGTAATTCTAGCGGCTGCCCTGTGGGTCTGGATTCTCCACAACACGCCCACGTCCCCTGTCCGTGCTGACCGTTTACTCGTCTTCCAGTCTGCTGCAGCATAGAACGAAGGTGCCTGACGTGCTCCCACCGGCAGCAGACTCTTCATCAGATTAAGGACATCCCTCTGGTCCTGGCTTTGAGCTGTCCTGTCACGAATGCAGTGACCCATCGTCCTGGCTTCAATCTGTGTCCCCTAACGGCTAATGGTGTTGCACCAACTTTCACATGCCTTGTGTATTCCAAACATCTTCTTTAGTGAAGTGACTTTACGTGTCTTTTGTCCACTTTCTCAGTGGCTTGTTTTCACTGGTGGGTTTTGAGATTCCTTGTATTTTCCAGGTAGAACACCTTTGCCAGACATGTGTTTGCACATATTTTCTCCCAGTCCATAGCTTGTCTTTTCCTCACCTTTACAGACTGAAAGCTTGAAGTTTTGATGAAATTGCACTTACTTTTTATTTTATGGATCATGCTTTTTGGTGTGAAATCCATGAACTCTTTGCCTAGCCCTAGACTCCAAAGATTGTCTTTTTTCCCCAAAGTTCTACAGTGTCCCATTTTCACTTAATTTGGTGCTCTACTGGAGCTGACTATGAAGCTCGAGGTTCAGGTCAAGGGTCTGATCTCATCCATTGTGGTCCTGGTGCTCCAGCACCGCCTGCCAACCAGACCACCTGGTTCTGGCCCACTCTGGCCCATGCGGCCTGAAGAGTGCGAGTGCATAAGCAGCCACAATGGCCCCCGGGGATCTCTGCCCACTGCCTGCCACCTTCTTCCCAAGCTCTCTCTGCTGGTCCCCAAGTAGGCCATCCTCAGGAACCCTCAGGCTGACCACGGGACTTCACATACTGTATTCCAGCTGTCCAAAAACAGAGGTCTCCTGTTCGATCCTCCCCCAGCCCAGACCACGAAGGCAGGCGTCACCTCCAGTCCCTGTGCCTCTGCCTCCCTCCGAATCACTCTCAAGCCCAAGCCCACCTTTCCCGCCAGCCCTCTCCCTACTTCAGTCTTCGTTCCACAGCCCCAGGTCAGTTGACTGCAGCCCTACATCCCTGCAACAGGCTCCTCCTCGAACCTACCACCTGTCCCCACGGCTGGCCAGCAAGCACCGTCCTACATGGCCCCCGGGCACCCACCACACAGGACAGTCCAGCTCCCTGGTGTGGCCGCCGCAGCCCCTGTGACCAGAGCCAACTACCCCTGCTCTAAACCTGGCGGCGAGCTTTTCAGTTCTTTGGTCACCCAAGTAGTTTCTTTGCTCATTCTTTTGAAACACTCTCCATCCTGACCCTACTCTCTCTCTGACTCATTAAATTCAACCCGCCATGACAGCTCAGTCCAGGAGCAGACGCCTGCTGGGCCAGAACAGGTGCCCTCCCTGCACCTCCGCGTCCTGTGATGCCTGAGCTGCTGCCCACCTCCTCACCCGTTGAACTCACCCTCCCGGGACGCGGCGGCTCTTCTCGGCCTTACGGCCTCTGCTCACCTGTGCCCCCCTACCTGCTTCCTGCACGCCACACTTTTACAGAATGAATGGGTTTGCTGATTAAATATCAGAAGGCAGCACACACTGTATTTTTCTCTGTCAGGTGCAGCTGCTCAGTGAGTGAACGGGCAGAAGGGTCTTTGTAAGAAAACATGTCGACTCCGTCTCATACTGTGCACTCATCACAAGGACATGGTCACCATCCTCCCGCATTATTCACTCACTTGCTGTCCCTCTGGGCAGGTTTCTGACTCCACACACCTCGGGACCTCTCTCTGTAAGCAGAAGCAGGCCATGATACGGCTGGCCCAAGATGCCTGTCGTTAAGGACAGCAAACAATCCTGAGAGCCGTGCTCTGCCAGCTTCTGCTTCAGAAGGGACAGAGTCACGAGGCTCCTGCTTCGTGGGACCCTGCTGTCCACACGCCGTGCGCACAACGAGCTCTTGTTGGAGTGACGCTGAAACAGCAGAACTCCACCTGGAACGCAGTCACTGCAGCAGCCACAGAGCACACTGACTTCCTACTAGTACTTGAACCCCCAGCTCCGGAGTGTCAGAAGGAGCCCAGGCCAGGGGTCCCACCGCTCTCCCCATCCAGCCAAGAGGCTGTGAGCAAGCCACATGGCTTCTGTGGGTCTTACCTACCTCCTCTGGCTCTGTTTAACCACCAGTGCTAACGAGTTCTGCACCCACTGCAAAGGCGTAGGTCCTACCCTCAGGGAATTAAAGTACAATGAAACAAAGACAGGCCTACACCAACCCTGATCTGCTGGTATCCTCAAGAGCCTTTCAAATGCAAAGCTCTCTAACTGCTTGAAATAGGACGTTACTATTGCTAAGGCAAAGACAGGATTAAGGTTCTCAGGGAAGGCAAAGTGATACTGTCCACAGGCCAGAGATGCCCTTTCACACCCGGGTGTGCCCCTGGGCACTAAGGGCCAGGGAGAGGACGTCACTGCCATTTAAGCTGGGAAGTTGGTTCTTGAAACACAAGTGACAGTGTTCATTCTCAGAGATTAGAATGTGCTAAATCCAGTTACTTAGTAATTTTTTTAGAAAAAATAAAGCACCAACAGTTCAACCACAAACATCGCAAAAAGTGATCCTATTCCACGTCAGAACTTGTCAACCCCTGGTACTATCAGTGAGCAGGGGGTACTGACTGGGATAAACGCAATCTTCCCTGGCAAGTAAGTGGTGAAGCTGGGGTCCAGTGGGGCCACCTGCTCCCCTAACACACCGACGTCTCAGGCTCACCTGAGCTACAAGGCACAGGAAGCTGTCATGCTCCCGTTTCAGTTTATAGACAACTTACCTCTTCACTGCTCCACCCGAAGAATTAAATGTGTAACCACACCCAAAGTGGGTGAGCAGCGGCTGCAGGGCGCAGATCTCGGGGACGAGCGTCTGGTGGGACATGCAGCCCCGTCATGCCATCTTAGGAACACCGACACAGACATTACTGTCTCCTGTGTGTGGCTCTTTGCCCTGCTCCACACTCAGGGGGCACACAGCCCAAGAGAGCTGCAGGACAAAGGGGCATGTGGG